TAAAACGAATAGTCAAACAAGATATCTAGAGTTAAAAACGTTTTTTTTTGAACGGAGGGTGTAGACCGTAAGCTGGCCAAACGCTCGCTCTACTAGTTGCTTTAAAGTGAAGTTGTAGGCGCTTCTGCAGACTGCGATGCGAAGCTATCATTCCGTGCGAGATGGACACCAAATGCAGACGTGTCACACGAGCCTACAAGACACGGTGGAGCGATGGGACTGCCTGGAATTCACTTTTTCTTTGACTCAGGTACTCAGCATACGATTGGGTCTTCTCTCTCCCGTACAAACTTTTTTTTTTCAGCAGACAGGCGTCAGGCGAATCGAATGGTGCTGAGCGCGTTAAGGTTCGTCGGCCGTCGCAGCACCACTGATTCGGTGCGTCAGGTCGCTAACGGCTTCCTTTCTTTGCTTAGCACCCTCTGGGTCCAACTCCAATCCAATCAATCCATCCATTCCTCTAGTGGCACGCCGAAAACCCCGTATAAAACACACACCGCCCTCCCACGGATCAAACCACCCCTCGGAAAGCCCCCAAAAAGCGTCAGGAAAAAAAGGGAGAGCCGCGGCATGGACGGGCACGTCGGCAAGCTCATCGACTCGGTGGGCTCCATCTTCCGCGGCAGCGACATCCTCCCCTGGTGCGACCGCGACATCATCGCCGTAAGCCCCTCCTCCCCCCTTCTCCTCTCGCCGAGAAAACTGGGCTCGGCTGGCGGCTGGCCTCCCAGGGAGGGAGGCCTGCTGACGAGTGCCGCCAATCCGACCCTTTCCTTCTCCCGCCTTCTTGCTGCTCCGGTGGCGGCGGCAAATTTTGGAGGGGGAATGCGCGCGAGGGGCCCACGAATCAGCACGGGGTTCGCTGAGTCGTTGCTGCGCGGGGAATTGTGTCACAGGTTCATTCACCAACCCTATGGTCGGTTGAACCAACGATGAATCACCTTCCATTGCGCCGTGGTGCTTCTGCGGCCATTAATCAAACAAACCAATTATCCGATCGCATCCTGTTATCCAGTCAAGCCATGTTTGATCACGCGGAGCCTAATCGTAATCGTTGCCACGTGTTCTTATGATCAATTCTTTTTATCAGGGTTTCGAGAGCGAGGTTGCTGAGGCTAAAAATGAAGAACAGAAAAATGAGAGCCTCATGAGGCTCTCCTGGGCGCTTGTTCACTCGAGACAGCCTGAAGATGTCAACCGGGGCATCGGGATGCTTGAAGGTGATATCCATATCCCGTTAATCTCCAACAGCATTAATACTTGGAGTTTTCTTTTATAAAAAAACATGGCTTGAGAAAATTGTAGGAGCTCTTCTCCTGTTCCTTCAAAAAATAGAAAATATGACTCGAGAAATTTACTGAATATTTGCCCCATTTCCTGATTATTTCCACGAAAAAGTGATTGAGTTGGACCTCATGTTTTGAGTAGTGATTGAGGTGGACCTCATCTTTTAACTAGCATGCTTAGAAAATTAGAACTTGCCATTATCATTAGCATGGTGAAAAAGGTGTTGATGTACAAGGAAATGCCCACATGCCATAAGAAGCATTTTACCACATGGACTTCTGTTCAATTACCATTGTTAGACTTCCTACGCCCACTTCTCTGAAGAGAACCAGTTGACACTTTCATGAATTATGGGGTTACATTGCTGAGATTGGAACCTCCAAAATTTAGAGGAACTAGAGTACAGCATAGTTACGAAGAATTAAAACTACTCTTCTTTTCAATCTAGGCCAGCCCCATCCTAGGCTACTAGACGTCGGACCTTCCACAATTCAATTAATTAATTTCAATCAAGCCGATCTTATTCACTGAAGCATATTTCTTTGCCGTTGTCCCCATGGGAGCTCATGATGTTATCTGTTGCCAGCTTCATTGGACAGGTCTAGCAGCCCAGAGCAAGCAAGGGAGAAGCTCTACTTGTTAGCTGTTGGGCGTTACAGAACTGGGGATTATACAAGAAGCCGACAGCTTTTGGAAAGATGCTTAGAGGTTTGATCACGGAATGTGTTGTCTGTTGTTATTCCTTTGAGACCTTCCAGATTTATTTTAGTCTGTGGCCTTACTCCTGTACTGTTAACCAAGGTGCCCCTGAATTTGATGCCTGCATGTTGAACAAAATATTTCATGTTTTCTTCAGATCCAGCATGACTGGAGACAAGCCATGACTTTGCAAAGGCTCGTTGAAGAAAAAACCAGAAGAGGTTGGTATAATATTTATGCTTTCCATTTTCAGTGTAGGAAAATGATAAAGTGGACGCCCATGGATTTTTCATCTCCTACTATAGTATCCACTATCAGGTTAGGAAAATGAATGGCCAATAGATTATCATGTGCTACTATAATGCCAACATGATGGCCCTGTTTGTTTCCAATCGCCATACTGCAGGGATTTTTTTCGATTCTAGATTTTGCTAGTTCAAAGTTCTGAATCGGTGGTGAGCAGAAGCTGAAATAATCAAGGCATTTGGTGGGATTCTCGCTTTTTTTTAACCGAGAATCTGATTATAAGCGGAAACAAACAGGGCTGGTGTCCAGTAATTTCCCATGTCCTAATGTAAATATGAATTGTATTGATCAAGAGAGAAGTTTCACATATATCCCCAACAACTGCTGTCAGCCATGGACCCTGAAAAGTAGTAGGGATCAAGACATCATGTCTTAATGAAGTTATCTACCATGTGTCCATGTTTCACATATTAGAAAAGAATAATAGAGCAAACCTTTAGTCATTCCAATGCACTGTTTATGGTCTGTCTAAATTGGGATAACAAGTTATTTGATGGTTAAATGCAGATGGTATGATTGGCATGGCTATCATCACAGGCGCCTTTGGAGTTGTGGGTCTTGTTGCTGGCGGTATAATTGCTGCGGCTTCTTCGTCGTCCAGGAGGAGATGAGGATATCTTCTCTCTTGAAGTGAATAAGAAATCAAGACGGGCAAAAGCTTGGTGACAGATGATCATCGCTTTTGTGCTCAGTGTGAAGGGGTGCTCATTTGTCTTTTTTCCTGTACTTTTGCGCGTGAGACCAACCTTGTATTGCATCCAAACGAGAGATATATGTATTGTTAACAGTAGAGGATGAGGCTCAGGAGCATTTCGACTGTTGTACTTTGTGTAGCTGCAGAAGATGCTGCGACTATAGTAGAATAACAAAATGGATAATACTCTGATCCCTGGTCCTAGTCTCCTAGATGAGTTCATTCCTCATCGCCATTATGAAATTGTCGTACTTTACTTTATGTGAATTTTTTGTGTGGCCTCAAAGCATGACCTTTTAAGAGGAAAAGGAGCTTTTCAGAACTATCAAATAAACACAAAAGGAGAGAATGATTTGGTTTATCTAAACATGATATGGACCTTTTAAGATCTTGTGTAAAGAAAGGATGCATATGCACTAGAATATTTTCGGTCTTTGTACATGTTCTCTGATAAAACCTTTTTTCTTTTTTGTGGTTGTGGATACACATTCTACACATCTTGCCCAACAAACAAAAGCAGGTTGTTTTAATCTTCGCTCCCTACCAAGGTCAGCAGGAAGTCCTTGTAATACCCGGAGGTGTCACCGACTACGTCGCTGGTCACCGTGGTTTTGAACCTGACCTTGTATTCCTCTTTGATCTTGTTCATGCCGATCTCGGACCCTGAGATGATCGCCCTCGTAAGTGTGTCCTCATCCGTTCCAAATCCTATGATGGAGTATCTAATAGCCTGATGAACACAAGTACACATACAGGTTATGTGTGGCCTTATGTTCTTCGATGAGCATCTCAGTGAGAAGACCATCCTGCATTTCAGTAATGTAATTTGTTATTAGTAAATATCATTAGAAAATACTTGCATATTTTTTAAGTCCTGATATATGCAACTTCGTTTGTAGAAACAATCAGATGGCATGTTCTGTCTTGTACCTGTATTTGGTACAGCAACACTTTAATTATCAAGCAGTGTTCTCCATCAAGTTGTTTCCCTTTTGAATATTGTGCACACATCGTCTACAGTGCAAGGTTAGATATATATCACAAAAATCGATTGGATGCTGATGATACTTGGCTGGCAAGATTATGCAAGGTCACAAATTGTGTTTGTTCTTCTTACAATTGGTTCCGTTGCATACAATATACTAAATGAAAAATGGGACAATTTACTGAGTTGCTGCAGCATCTTTGTGATGTGTTTTTCTTGTGTTTGTCAGTGTTTGCAAACCCTGACTTAGCTAACAATGTGACTTTGTTTTTTTATATATTTTTTTATAAAATTTATTTATCTTGTTTTGTATTTTACCGTAGCATTAGTACGGGCATACACTCCACGCGGAACGGAGCACGGGTGTGGCTCGGCACTTTCGGCAGGCGGCGGCGCGGCGCGCGCGCGGACAAGGAGATCTTCGTGTTGGTGGAGCCCGCGATGCCGGTGCGGCTGCACGGAGGGGACGCTCGTGCCCGAGGACTCACCAGGACAACGGTGCACTGGCCCAATATTGCCGGGCACTACTGATTATTACTCCTAATGAACCAGAGGCGCGTTTCAAGATGACACCTGGGCTGGGCACCACTCAATCCGCAACGATCTGCTGCTAGGGCTCCCAACCCGCACGAAACGCTCCCTCTGGTCGTGCTAAAGCTGGCCACCATGAATTAACGTCATAAAACTACATTAATTTCTTCAAGCTGTTTCGTATCTGAATTGATTCTGTAGCATGCATGCGGTCTATCTATCTATATAAACAAGCAAGCATTTGACCCGTACCTGGACTAGTCGTGACACGGCGAGCTTTATATAGATAGAATAGAGGCATCACTGGACCCCGATGCAGCAGTTCCTCGCACAAACCGGCAGCAACAGCAGCGCCGCTACGTCACGGCCGGCGTCGCCGCAGCCACGTCTTAGGCAGACGCAGGCACCCAGAGCCACGTCTTAGGCAGACGCAGGCACCCAGGAAGGAAAGGGACCCGCAGAACAAGGAGAAGGAGGCGCCGCCTCCTGCCATGGCCCATGGCCGACGAGCACCAAGACCTCACCAGGGCCTTCGCGGGTATGGTACATTATTATATTTTATATATTACTTGTTTTGTGTATACCCATGCGATGCGCTAATGAATTGCTGACACGATGTTGGAAACTGAGAATGCGCTCGATCCATACAATGAATGGATGCAGGTCTGGGCGGGCTGGGCGTGGACGAGACGGCGCTGGTGTCCGCGCTGGGGCGGTGGCGGCGGCAGCCGGAGAAGCGGGCGCACCGGCGCTGCTTCCTGGGCTTCTTCTCCGCGAGCGCCGGCGCGGGCGCCGCGATCGAGCGGTGCGAGGACGAGTACCTGCTGCACCTCAAGGCGGAGTTCGCGCGGTTCAAGGACGCCGCGGTGCTGTGGGCGATGCACCTGTGGGAGCGCGACGCGCGCTGGGCGCACCACGTCCTGCACAAGGCGCACCCGCCGCAGGTCCTCGTCGAGGTCGTCTGCACGCGCGCCACCGACGACCTGCTCGGCGCACGCCGCGCCTACCAGGCGCTCTACCACCGCTCGCTCGAGGAGGACGTCGCCTACCGCGTCAGGGACGCCAACGCCAGTGTGCGCGCGCGCTGCTTCCTTCGACATCGTCTCGTTCTGGGCTGCTGGCTGCTGGCTGCTGGCACCTGGACCTGGCAGCAGCAGGCCAGCTGTGACTGACGCACTAACACGTATTGCCTGCCTGCAGCTGCTGGTGGGGCTGGTGAGCGCGTACCGGTACGAGGGCGCGCGCGTCAGCGAGGACCTCGCCACTGAGGAGGCCAAGGCGCTGGCCGCCACCGTCAGGGCCGCGCTGGCGCCGGCGGCGACCAAGCTAGTGCAGAACGAGCAGGTGGTGCGGGTGCTGGACTGCTGGCTGCCAGGAGCAAGCCCCAGCTCAGGGCCACCTTCAGGATCTACATGGAGCTGCACGGCAAGCCACTTGAAGAGGTCGTCAATCAAGAATACCAGTAGTAGAGTTCATCATAAATCCAAACTCTTTTAACGCTCTGATCTGATTCATCTGTTCTTTGCGCCTGCCTGCGACTGATCAGGACCTGGCCGCCGAGCCGTGCCTGCGAGAGGCCGTCAAGTGCCTGGACTCGCCGCCCAAGTACTTCAGCGAGGTGATCGGCAGGGCGTTCAGCGACGACGCGGACAGGCAGGCCAAGGCGGCGCTCACCCGCGTCCTCGTGTCACGCGCCGACACGGATATCAAGGACGCCTACGCCAGGCAGTACGGGGCCAAGCTCGCCGACGCCGTGGCCAAGAACTCCCATGGCCACTATAAGGACGCGCTGCTCGCCATCATCGGCAAGTGAAAGGGGCCCAGGGTGTTGTGTGGCCGCTAGTGCCACACATGAATAATAACACATGTTCTTTCAAATGAAACAGTTCAATAAGATTGTACTAGTGCCCATCTCCTTTATTTATGCGAATAGATAAAAAGAACAGCATCCTGTTACCATGTTACGAACTACTATGGGATATGGAACAAGCATTTCAAGTGGCAGGCAGGAACAAAGGCCGAAGGTACAATGCTCGCACACATGTACGGCCTGTTCGCTTGCCTGTAAACGATCGTAAATTTCCAGCCGAGAACAGTGTTTTTCTCTCACACCAAACCAACCAGCAGTAAATAATCCACGATACGATACGGCCTCCCGAACAGGCTGGTAGCCCAACCACGCAAACAATTTGGTATACCGGCCAATCCAAATCAACAAGCGGGCCAAGCAAGGCAAAAATTGAAGTTGAGAAACTGGCGTTCGGAACGATGATATACGTGATAGATTAGGGATAGCACTAATTGAAGAAAAGCTTGTTCAACACCGGTTGAGATAATTTGGACATGTACAACAAAAACCTCCAGAGACATCGGTGCGTAGTAGAATGCTAAGCCAGGATAGTAACGTGAAGAGAGACAAAGGAAGACCGAAGTTGACTTAGGTAGAGACAAAAGAAGACTTGAAAGGATGAAATATCCTAAAAAACTTAGCATGAGATAGGAGTGCTTGAAAAATAGTTATTCACGTGCCTGAACCTTTGATTGCTTCTAATGGATTTCAACTCTAGCCTACGTCAACTTGTTTGAGACTTAAAGGCTTTGTTGTTGTGAGAAACTGGCGTGCTCTTTCTATGCCCTACCCCCTGGCTGTATGCACGGAGGGCTCGGTGCACACGTATCCACCCAATTCTTTCCTCCCTTACGATGTACTTCATCCAGCTCTAATAAAATTTACAAATCTTGTGTGCAAATCTTGGAGGGAGTACAAAACATCATGTGCGCTTGTAAGAACCATCCTTCCGACAATAGAGGACCAACAAACCTTCCAGAGCTCCAGGTATCTGTGTCAGGATCTTTACAAGTGACCGCAGAACTGGAGTATCCAAAATGCAACACACGGCGTTCTGTTGCTCACTGCTCTAGAGACGTGGCAAACGGCTCGATGAGAATGGAAGCAAGCAGTTATACATCCACTTCAAGCGTGACACGACAATCATCTTGTCTGGCGTTCCCATGTCGAGCTTTGCCAGATCAAAAATATCTTCTCTCAAGCTGCATTGCAAACAGTTTCCTACACGTCAGATCCAGAATAACCAAGATGAGAGGTGAAGGACTTTGAGTAGAGAGACTGACCTTAACCATTCGCCTGTTTCTTTTGCGTGAGACTCAACAGCTTTGCACAGTCTATCAAGCGTGTAAAGTACTAATCCAAACTTGCACCGTGCCTCTTCCTCCTATAAAGTAGCAACTTCAAGGAGTTATTGCATGATCATATCATATAATCCAAGACTTTAGCCGCTTCAAATTTATTGCATGGTGCCTATTAGATTAGTAATAAACATTTTATCTACACATCTTTGAGATACTAGTTAGGGAAAAAAGGCGATTTTGGTAATTTTGTATATGGTGAGAGAACAAGCTCATATATAAGACTCAAGTGCTAGAAGCATAGTGAAAGTGATCACAATTAGAAAGCCGAATAAACAATACTTGGAAAAGAAATATGTTAAACTCAAGCAAGAATGCTAGAGTGAACGAATTTCATATATATTTGAATATTTGAAGTTACCATTCCATTATCCCTGTAATGCTGAAACTCCATAAGCCTTCTCTCTACATCAACAAGAAGCAGCCTCCGTTGACATCGTGCAATATTACCTCTTCCCTCAGCACCATGATCCTGTGGAACACGCAGATGTTTAGTTAGCCAAATTTACCATAATGCCTTTCTACTTTCTACTTTCCATATCCATTTGCATGCAACATAAACTGTAAAGATAAGTAACACCCATGGTTTGAACTCTGAGAGAAAGATGACATGATGTAGTAGACCTACAATTACTGCAGATAGACCAGAGGAATGAAATTGTGAGCATGAAAATGTTTTTTGATGGTTTATATACATACACGCTGAATCCATGTTCGCAATAACACAAGCAGCAGAAGTGAAAGACCAAAAGCAGGCAGAGCTGCAAGAACGGCAAAGTTTATAGCATTTGCCCTAAGAATCTGATCCATTTCCAGTAGTCCCCTGTGTAAAACCACTTCAATTATCAATAACAATGAACAATAGAGAAGACAAAGCATATCTTTATATAGCTTATCAAAAACTTCAGATGGTGATTTGTTTAACTTACGATTCAAGATCCAGTTTAAGCTTTTGAATCTGAAATTTTCAAAATTGAAGGTCAGTGAAACACTGTTTCAATTATTGTACCCAGAAAATAGGAAACCAGGAACGAACCTGAATAAGCATAGCACGGGCTAATTCTCCACTGAACAGGTTTTGAATTGGATGTATCAATTCCTTCTCATATCTGCACAGTGCACATATATAAATAGAGATACAATTCATGAGTTCAGTGCTACAAAGGAAACGATCAAAAGAGACTAGTGAAAATAAATGCAGTCCCATACTTTCGTCAGGAAACTGGTTAATAAAATATGAACTGTATGTTCACACCTCTGAACAAAAGGAGACTACCAAACTTAAAGCAGTAGTAGTCATTATTCATCAAACACTAGAGAAACTTGCATATCAGCCAGTTCACAAAGCAGTTCAAGTACACGAGTTACATACTAATTAGTCATACATACAATCATGCTAGTTAGTCATAAGAAGTGACATGATTAGGACTAAAATTTCACACTAACAATTCCCTGAATCATAGAAGCAATTGCATACATGCTGACAAGGGTTACTACTTTACTGAAGCATCTGGCAACTACTAGTCTACTACTGAGTTATCATAAACTCAAAGTTGGGAGTTTCCTGAGGTTGTTAAGTATAATTAAATGTTGGATAAGAGTCTATTGCATTAACTTGTTTTCTACTATTCAATGTTCACATCTGGGGTCAAATCCATCAAATGGATGGCTAACAGTTTCCAGCCCAAATCTCTTATTATCAAAGCAGGGGAGTTTGGCCGCCAACCAGGGTGGCCACGTCGCCCGAATTGTTTCAGCCGTCGGATTCCGCGATCGACGGTACACGTTCACTCCACCAACTGCGTCAGCTTCCTTCGCAGAAGCCCCGTCCACGCCATCCCAGATTCCACCGTCCGTCTGATCTCCCGTTGAACGGCCCAGATCTCTTCGATCGGATTTTATCGGGAGCGGCTCCTCCTGATTCTCTTCACCTGCTTTGGCTTCAACTCTACTTTTTCCTAGCTTCTCGTTCGAATCTGGTCAGCCAAATATATATACGGCTTCTGCTTCACCTTCCTGAGGCTTCTCAAAATATCCCGTCCCTCTCCTCGCTCGTTCTCTCCCTCGCTCGTCGCCCTGACCGCCGCCGCTTCTGCTGGGCCGCGCCCCTGCCTTCCTCTCCCTCTCCTCTCCTTCTCTCTCTCTCTCTCTCTCTCTAGACGTCGCCGCGTGCCGGCCGGCCCTCGGCGCCGCAGAGCCTCGGCGTGCGGCGCGCTCACGGTGGCACGGCACCTCCGGCCTACGGTACACTGCAGCACGTCGGCCCTGCCGGTGGCCGTCCCTGGCCATGCCTCGCCGCAGGCGGCCTGCGCTGGATGTCACGGGAGTGCCAGCCCCCAGTGCCGCCTCCTCACGCCGGTCCGCGTTTGCTCCTCTACTTCACGAAACCCTAGCTCGCAATTCTCCACGACTAACATGTCGTGCAGCAGATACGCCTCTGCCTACTGCTACGACGTCTCAGCTAGGTGTGCCCAGGCTACATTGTGAGCCGCGCTGAGGGTTGCGCAAGATTTGTGCAGGTAATATTTCTCTATAGTATTTTGTTATCCTCTTCCGTTCCTTCTCTCTGGCCTCTGTGTATGCCCAGGACAGAACAGGAGGACGAATAGATCGAGACGGTGGAGCCATGTAGATTTGTTGATGGCGATGATTATGCTCATTCAATCCAATTCTTGATTTCCAGGCTTGTCTTGCCTCAACACTGCTATGCCTAGGTATCTGGGTTCCACTTAAAATTTTTTCCCTGTTTCGATAATTGTTAGGTCCTTCTGTGGCTTTCAGCTGCTTGATGCAATGCCAGAACCAAACAAGATTCCGTTCTTGCTGCTGGCGCTGACCTTCGATTCAGCGACGCCAGGTCTTACTCCTCCGCATTGCCGGCGCTTGGCTTCGCTTCATCGACGCCACAACCATTACTCAGTTATTTGTATTTCATCCTCCTGCTATGTCCTTCGATTCTTCGCTTCCTGTTGGCTTGCCGCGCTACAGCCCCAGGTGATGGCCTTTTAAATTGGAAAGGAGCATTGTCCCCTTCTATAAATCGTACATTCTAGCAGCATGAAAAAAGGTTCTCTGTTTCCTAATTTGGTGTCAACTTTTCAGGTTTGGTTTCCTAAGTCATAGGATCGTCACCAAGATAATAGAGAAATTGGAAGCTACCTGCTACGTTCTGGCATCATGAAAAAAGGTTAGCCTTGACGCTGATTTCTCGATGGTTGGTGTTTGTGCCTCCGAATGGCAGTGACATAATATATTGTATAGCCAGTATAACATTTGTATTTGAAACATATATTTTACCCACTGCCCACTAAAAAATGTATAATGCGACATCTCCTTTTCATTATTCTGGTTGTTTTCCCACATAACCAACCGAATTTTCATGACCAAAGTAGTCTTTAGTCTTTTTTCAATTGTTATAGGTGTGTAACCATGTCCTTCTTAGTCATTGCATTGCACAGAACGATTGAAATTGAACTTTCCATGTGCAAGTTACATTGTGTGCTGCTGCATATAGTATGTTTGCTGCACACGCAGCACCAAAGTAAATGAAATTAAAGGGCGCTAAAGTATCAGCGGAATTTGTTATGTTTGTTCGCCTACCATATTTTATTGAATCTTATTATTTCATATATGCCGGCGCGCGCGAAGGTGCGCGTGATGGACTAGTGGTCTTAAAATGAGTCAACCATGAAGTTGAAAGGGCCAAACTGCCTACGAGTCTGGCCAATTATTCCGGCTGTTCGGCTAGCTAGAAAAACGGCTAATGTTGATGCTGATGCTGATTTGTTGAGAGAAAAACACTGTTATTTCGCTGAAATGGTACGGCTGATAAGTTCAAGCGAACAGGGCCATTGGCTATAGTTGCTGTCACATGTCATTGGATGACAACATAGGTACATAGAGTAATCAAATCTCTAATTATGCATATAATATACCATACACGAAGGTTTCCTTTTGTGAACAAATAAGAATATATTCCTTTAAAAGAGGTAGAACATTAAAGGGATGTAGTGAAAGGGGAAAATGTTCTCTTGACGACGATGAATCATAATTTAAATGAAAAAAAACTGGAGAATATGAAATATTGCTGGCATAAATCAGCTACAGCTAGTGAGACGGGTGTCAAGTTCGTCAAACAACTGTTGGTATAGTTTAGATAGATTTACCTCATCGTGAGAGTCTCCAACATCGCCTGCACTGATAAATCTTCCGGCAACTTCCGACCCTCTGTTTGCTCACAAAAGGCAACTAGCATCCTAAACATGTAAGATGTAACTATCGGGGTTAAACAATGCAAAATATACTTTATGAGACACAATATCAAAGAGTTTCTAGACAAGAAAAAAAAGTACTCCTACATCATATGAAACCAGATAGGTAAACTTGGCCTGAAACTGTTACATACATACATACATGTAACTGTTTCAATTATATATCAAAAGTGCTTCGTGACACATATAATACCAATTAAAGAGGGAAATTACCTAATAACCGTTTACATTACAGAATAATATAATATGTGCATACAGTACGTACTAATTGTCGTTTTCTCCACTGTATTTGCTTATAGGACATGTATGTTTTGGTACAATATTGAAACAATGTAAACTGATTAATTGATATAACCCATTGTGAAATGTTAAACAAAAAGTATATATGGTATATGACTATCCAAAATTTATTTCAATAAAAACAGGTGAAGCTTAAAGTTAAGACAAATAGATAGCAATTCGCCAACATTGATGTATCTATTTATTTCTCAAAATGTTATCCTTTTGGCCCTTTTGGTTATGTTCCACCCTATGCCATGCAGGTTAAAGTCAAAGCAGTTTAAGTGCTCAAGCTGTAAAAGCTGGTAACCCCAGAATATGTTACTTTTGCTTTCGCAGCAGGGTGAAATTGTATCTATTCGATGATTAAGTAAAAAAGCAAACATTGGCATCAAGAAACCAGCATAGAAATTAGAGAGATAGAAATGATGGATAACCTGTGCAATGAATCTTCAGTCAGTTGGACTCTTGATTTTCCATTACACCTTTATCTCTTTGCTTGAATGTCTCGAAAAGCTCATCTCTAATGGAAATGATCTAGTGAGCAACAAATACAGAACAGCCATGTTTTGAGCACAGTAGTAAAACTAACTTCAGAACTATAGAACTCCATTTTAACTTCAATTAGGAGTAAGGAATTCTCAGCTGAAATAGATCAACTTGCAGCAGCGGTCTAAAATTTCAATGATTCACACAAAATTTGAATATATAAAAAATATTTATACCACCACAACAGCCCACAGTTTACAAAGTCTCCTTTAAGGAACACATGGATGCGTTGGCAGGCCATCTTATACCATAGTGACAAAAGACTGCAGCTAATCAATATCTGTATCTACCTATATAATATTAAAAGTACAGAAATTTCCTCCACCCCTCACTCTCTCTCCATAAGTCCATTTCCTACTCCCATCCCTCTTGGTCCGTCAGTCTCTCCCTTGTCCATCTGTCACTCGATCAATATGCCAGTTTGGAGCTACACCTTTGCTGGAGTCACACCACTCATGTTGTGGCCTGGCCACCAGAGCCCATGCGCGTCATGACTTGGCACACATGTGGGCATGTGGCTCGCATTCCACCTTTATTAAAGTCACAGCAGGTGAGCACAATGGCCATCCATTTAAGCTGAGTCAATTTCTCATACGGGATTAATCCTTTCTTGCACTTAACATTTATTATGGGCTTTGGAATTTATTTGATTTAATTGAAATAAGGTTGGAAGTTGGAACAAGCCCACTAGTATGTCCCGTTGCAACGCACGTGCATGTTTCTCAGCAGTCAGCACTCTGTCTAATGCTCTGCATTTGCATTTTGATATAAAATATCTCCACTAACAGGCTAATAAGACCAAGCTGGCACGCTTCCTCCTGTACCTCACATAACTTCTCATGTATATGATGTATAAACAATCCGAGAAGCCTCTTCTGGTCTTCCCCACTAAATCATGTTATTTACTTTAGTGACTTACGCTACCATACTGAAAATAAAATATAAATAATAGAAGTGTGAATTTACAAAATATCTCACTGGTTTCTCAACATGTTCATCCCAAAATCCAGCCACAGACTCCTTAGCATCTCGAACCCAATTGTCGATATCAGGACTTCCCATCAAGCTGCTATGGCGTAAAAGCCACAGAGAACACACAGAGAGACCCACTGCTCCACATGTATAGGGTAACCAGTATATGGTCAATCTGTTTGGTCTTTTATGCCTCGAGAGCTACAATTATAGAGCAAATTTTCAGGTAGTTATTAATCAACACATTGCTTTAAATAGATTTGTAAGGAACATACATATAAGTATAAAGCACTATAAAATTTCAGAAAAAAGGGAACTATAGGCTATAGCAGCCGATTTAGTGATGAAGCCAAAGTTATTTCTAGCAAGTACTACAGACATAAAAGAACAGAAAGAAAAAGTTCATAAAATGGTACCGCACTAGTATTCTACTAATGAGGTACAACTATACAAATTCGGCCCGGACACATCATCAGCTTATCTATGTGCTGAGTTTTGATGTTTCAACACTTGTCCAATGTGGTTGCTAGTAGCTTTTACTTTGACCCTACTGCTAATCCTAATCAGCAAAGTCATTGGCTGTTGTGTACATATACATTATTTACAGGCGGTCTAAACAGGTAGCATCAAAACTTTGTTAGTATAACTATAGATCAAATACAACGAATTGCACTCTTAACGTATTTCAACAACAAAGATCGCTAGTTTTGAAGACTTGAGCAAAAGAGGTTGAAATGTGTGGTTGTCTTAGGAAGATAGAGATGCTTACCTGAGAGGACAGAAAACTATCTAACTTCTGAAGGTTTTGATAGACTAAACTTGTACCATCTGTTGCCAAGGCCTCTGTCCATTCTGAACTCTCTACATCGACTTCTGGCAATTTCCCAAACAGTTCATATGAATTTCCATCATGTGTAAATAGTTCATCTTGCCCCTGAAAGTATTTGGTTAAAAACAACAAAGAAGTCCATCTAAAAAGATCAGAATATATGAAACATAACATTGCATACCTCACCAGCATTTCTAAGTGATACCTCCAACTTGGAGAATGTCGTATTTAAAACAATGAACAATGTATGCAGAGATTTATCTGAGTTTTCAGTTAATCCTTCTCTGCATTTATCAACTTCAGAATGAATCTACAGAGGAGACAAGCTAGAGATTAAACAATGTATGTGTTATATGCCTGTAACACAAAGCATTATTGTCCATGATGAAAACTGCGAGTTTGTTTTTTTACCAGAGTAGTACAACAGTTATGTTTGAAAGTAGCCAAAAAGTTAACATTGAAAATACTAAAGATAAAGTTTACTCTCCTAGACATAAGCTGAGAGAGAATTACAATTATAGGATTATTACTATGGTATAATAATTACAGTTGATAAACTGAAGTAAACAAACCTCTGCAAGAAAAGTGGCCAAGCAGTGTTGCATACTTGTCAAGGCAGCAAGTTTTGTTGACACCATATCAGATGCAGAATGCAAAATGTATTGGACTGGACGTCTATTGCTTCCGAGTCTAGTGAGTGTTTGATACGTTGCATCAACAAAAGCCCTTGGACCTCTCTCAAAGATTATAAAGTACACTTTCTGAGAATTTGTTCCCTGAGAAGAAATGCTCCACAGGTAAAATAGTAAATAACACAAGGAATAAAATACATCTCTTTAAATATGTCAAAGGTATGTATTAAATTTATACCTCAGCTTTGGCCTGCCAAAATAGTAAGCTTTTGTGAATACTGTGCAAATTAGTCAGGGTGTGTTGCACAACGTCATCTAAGATAATAAAGGCTTTGGGCATCTCACCAGCAATCCTACAATGAACGAATAAACAGTTCGCAAGAACTTCAAATAATACTGCTTCGCAGTTATCAACGGCATTCACAAAATAGTATACCATAGGTCCATAGCATTAGCCACATAAATAGGTCAACAAAACATTAGCTTAAGGAAAACGACGGGTTGCCCTTTGTTGCTTTTACTGAGTTGTGTCTAAACAATCTACCGAGTTCCCCGAATCCCGCATCTTATAATTGCCCCCAAACTGGCACAAGTTCCACAATCTAACATAAGGACACGCAAAGCAAAATCCCAAACAAGCACACGAGTGACATTGTTCGAACAAAAGCTCGCAATGACACTTCTTAAATGATCACTACGGTGACACTCCTAGATTAGCTAACAACGCAAAGTCCGAATCCCAAGCACGCAGGTAGCTGCTGTACTCTAGGAACCAGCATATGACGGTCAAGCGCAAGCCAATAGCAGGGAATCTCACCGAGCGGAGTGTGCGGCCGCGGGCCGGAGCGGGAGAGGTAGAGCGGAGCGCCTGCGGCGGCGGGGACGGCGGACGCCGAGGTAGCGGCGCTGGAGGTCGGAGACGGCAGCAAGGAAGCTGGAGGAGTCCGGGAGGGGAGGGAGGCGCGCGACGAGGGATCTCCATACGCGCGCGGGCGCCTCGAGCGCCGCGGCTGCTAGGCTCGACGCATCGGAGGGATCGCCGGAGCTAGGGTTCTGCGGCGGCGATGTCGCCATTGGGGTCGGGAATTCGTGTGGGCGGCACTAGTGGGTTTCGGGTTTTAAATTTTTCCTTGGGTTTCTGATGATTCAACCGGTTGGCTGCTCTTCTTCTTGCTGAACAAGCTTGTGCATTTTTTCATCTAAAAAAACTGTTGCAGAAATTTCGTAGCCTACTGCCCGGTAATAACTCAGTTATTGTTCAAAACATGCAAGCTCTCAGTATTTTGTATGGACCTAACTTCACTGTAGTAAAGAAAAAAATTAGCTACCAGTACAATGTTATTGTTTCCTCTACCGGCAAAGAGTGTCATCGGTCGATCCACTAATTGCCCGGTGCATGCTCCGTCGTTGTTTCTCGATCTATTTCAACTTTTTAAGTCTGGTCTCATCCATTCAACTTTATGAGATTTTTGTCCTGTTCGCTTCGCTGAAAAAACAAACCTAAATATTATTTCAGCTGATTTGTTGTGAGAGAAAAATATTATTCCGACTAAAAAAGTAAATTGAAAAACATGGATTATAAAACAAACGAACGTAGCCTTTAACTTGAAACCATTTTAGTGGAGCCACTTATCATCCTGAATTTGACGGAGAGTTAACCTCTTTATACCCTCTTAATGGAATACGTGCAACGTGCATGTTTGCGGACCCTTACTTTGACTGGAAGGTGAACATTTTAGACTCTTCTTCTTCTACAACTAAAAAAACTAAAAGTAAGACTATTTTTTTTGCAACTTTTTTTTGTTGCTCCTCCCTTCCGGTCATGCGATACCCCGCGCAATAGAAAAAGAAACTACCATTCCTGATATCCCCGTCTGCTTTGAAGGAAACAAATCGATCACCTGAGGCCACATGTATGGAAGAAAACAATAATCATGTATGGAAAGAAATAATTGGCAAAGATCAAGCAAGACTCCTCCCTTCCGGTCATACGATACCCCACGCGATAGAAAAAGAAACTGTCATCCCTGCGATCCCCATCTACTTTGAAGGAAACAAATCGATCATCTGAGGCCATATGCATGGAAGGAAATAATAATCATACATGAAAGGAAATAATTGGCAAAGATCAAGCAAGACGACTCAATGAGATTGTCCCTTAATTTTAGTGTTTCCAGCATGCAGACCTGAAATTAAAAAGTGGCTGCTCCTTGAGAACATCAGTGGTGCCAAATAAAAGATATGCAGGTTATATATGGTGAGACTAGTGAACCTTCTGTAATTTTCTAAACGAATATTCCCACCATTCGTATATAGGTCCATTCTCCTGCGTTTCTTCGTGCTCCAATCAGCATATAATATAAAAGTATTGTTGTGTTCATCACGACTTCCAGTTGATTACTCTCATTAGCATATATTTTCTCTGTCCCAAAATATAAGTCGTTATGTGATGTGTGTAGGTCAAACTTTCTCAACTTTGACTAGATTTGTAAAAAATACGTGCAACATTTAACAATCAATTGGTCGACTCCTGAGGCCACATGCATGTAAAAAATACCTGTATTATAATTGGTCAAAGCTAAAAAAAATTGACTTCTCGGAAAGCGAGAATGAATTCTATTTTGGGACAGAGGGAGTATATGAAAACGGTGTTGAAAATATTTTAACAATCAAATTCGTCTCTGTCTGATGGGTAAGCTTAGACATCATAATGGCATCAAAAATTTCGACTCTCATGGACACCATCATGGATCAGTGCAAAGCATCACAATCCTACAGCATACACAAATGGCAACCTTAAAGGCCATCTTAGACGTTCTAGCATTAGAGTATATACGTGCAAATACATAGGCATGGTGATGCAAGTGAGCAGCCAGCAGAAGTCGAGAGTTAGGGGGGCGTTTGTATCCCAGGGCTAACCTTTAGTCTCTGTCACATTGAATTTTTAGATATCAATTAGGAGGACTAAACATGAGCTAATTATAAAACTAATTACATAAGTTGTGGCTAATTCGCTTGCCAGCGCCGTGTATAAAATGATATGGAGATATGGTGGAACTTATTCGTGGATTTGTTGGCGCACGAAAAAAATGGATATCGGAAATCTCTTTCTGCCGGTATAAAAAGTGATCTTAGCCGCATCATGAAAAGATCTATACAGTAGAGTTTGTGAGCCTGCGATGCCATACTCTCTGTGACGGTGTAAATTTAACGAACTTAGCTTTTTGGATTAAATGTCACTTTAACGTCGGTCATATACTTTTATAGTATTGTTATCTTATCGTGCGATCCGTGTGTTTTTAGTACAAAAGTTTAGCTGTACCGTAGCAACGCACGAGCACAAACCTATTTACATATATACTCGAACCTGTGTTTACATGATTATATGGAGATGCCGTGGAACTTATTCATGAATTTATTGGCGCACGAAAGAAATGGATATCGTAGAATTCTTTCTACCGATATAAAATATTATCTTAGTTGTATCACGAAAAAGTCTATATAATAGAGTTTGTGAGTCTGAGATGTCACGCTCTCCGTGACGGTGTTAATTTCACGAACTTTGCCTTTTGAATTAAATGTCACTTTGACGTCGATATTTAATTTAACAGTATTGTTATTTTAGCGTACGATCCATATGTTTTTAGTACAAAAGATTTAGTTGTTCCATAGCAACACACGAGCACGCTACCTAATAATAGTACAATCAAAGAAAATGAAAGAACTATTTACACACTACTTGGCGATATCCCTATGACCGCAGCCTGCGTGCGGTCTAGAGTATTCTTGGTATTATCGATTATCCTTTGCACCATGCTTGATAATAAAACACAAAAGGTTAGGGACAATATACATGTGGCCATTCTCATCGTGATTAACTTCATTGCTAATCTCTAGCAAACACATCTTAGTCATAATACTCGTGCTTCATCCGTAATGGAGCCTAGATGTGTTCACGTGTCTAAATGTATGTGCATTTTTTTAATGTGTACAAACCCTTTAAATAAGAGAAATGGATGTTTCAAGATAACTATTCCTTCCACCTCTTTCATTTTCTGGGGTTAGCCAAGGAAAACAGCTAGCACCATCAAGGTTTGTGTCCCCCTGAGGACGTCGCGCCAGGACACATCCCTGACACTTCCTCTTTCCTCTCCCCGTCTCCCGCCTCTTTCCATAATTTCCGTAATTCCATAACTTCCAGCCCAACCTGTGATTCCACGCGTCCGATGAAACCGGTAGAAAAACGATTTGAGCGAAAAATTCCATAACTGTCCCTATCGTTGATAATGAAACGAGCTGCCATGCATCACTGGGAGACTCGCCCCAAGCGGCTCGCCCGCTCCGTCCCGTGCTTACGTGCAATCCCTCAGCTGCCTTCCATCTCCCACTCTCATCTTATTTTGCATGCAATTGCTCGCTAATCAATCAACCACTCGCTCGTCGCACACGCCCTTGGAGGTATTCAAGAGGGGTTTGGCATGGCTTTTCGCTTATCTGATTTGGACAGGAGAAGGTGACGGTTGATAGCGCGGCGTGACACGCCACATCCTTGGCGTGCCCCGATGTGGCGGACACGGCATACGCGTACGCCAAGCAGGGCGCGGGCCCACACATATGCAACATCTAAATCTACTTTTAAAACATCCAAATACAACACTTGCAACATACAAAAAGAAGACAGATGAAACACTTGAAACATGCGTCTAAAACACTTGCAAAAAGCATCTGAAAACACTTGAAAAAATATTGCAAAACATATGCAACATACAGAGAAGAAACTCGCAACATATGCGTGAAACATATGTAACACCATGAAACATTGGGGACAGACACTTGCAACATATGCAATATCCCGATCTACTTTTGCAACATCCAGATAAAACACTTGCAACATCCAGATGACACATCTAAAACACTTGAAACATACGTTTGCAACATGCACTTTCAAATAAACAATGTCACTTTGTCGCTATGTAGCTTTTGACCACGAATGGATGCTCGCAAAATTGCCATAAATACTCTATAGTCGTGAGCTATTCTCTAAAAACATCGCCGTGTAGAGGTCCAAATGGCTTCACTAATGGCGCATGGAGTATGGTCGTCGGGCGAAAAAGCAACACTAGAAGCGTGATGCAGACGCCCTCCTGTGATTCTCCAATGCCCTAACGCGTGCCCATACAAAAAGAAGTGTGCTCGCGCCCATGGGCGCTGGGCTTGTTGATGCTATTCGGCGCCAACATGCTGAAACATATGTAACACCGGATGTGGTCATGCAATACCGTACTTTTGCAACATCCAGATAAAACACTTGCGTCCGGATGACACATCTAAAACACTTGGGGATGGGGCGCGGAGTGGCTAGCCCTACGGGTGCGTTGCATTGAGCTCGGCGCGGGGGGAAGGCATGGCGTGAATGGGACAGGCCCTCTGTGATTCTCCGCGCGGTTGGGGAAGGGGGGGCGGGGGGGTTGATGACGGATGAGCAACCAAGCCACGACGGTGGGGACTTTTTTTAAGAGAGAGAGAGAGAGAGAAAGAGAGAGGCCGATCAATCCGTGGCGGGCGGACGGATGAGCAACCAAGCCCTTTTTTGAGAGAGAGAGAGAGAGAGACGATCAACTCGGATGGGAGCCACGTGAGCATTCGGACCATGCTGAGCATTCCCGTTAGCCAAGGGCTTAGATGCTCATCAAGAGATAGCTTAGAAATAAGCACATCTTAGTTTTTTTCTTCTCAAAAGCGGGAGGGTGTTGGGAGGTAGGCTAATATGATGTATAGGTGAATTCATGGTTCCTTAATCTATAAAAAAATTTGTGTAGAATTCATCTCTCTTGCCTTCTCCCTTTGGAAAATTTTCTATATTTTTTCTAAATTTTTGCAACCTTCTTAGAGATTTTTGGAGCTATACTAGATGTGAGTTGTTGAGCATTCTCTGTGTAATTTTTAGGGGCTATGAACAAGGTACGTGATGGACTAGACATAATTCCCTATAATTGCTTCCCAAAATCTCTTTTTTCTTCGTCCCAAACTCCCAACCAAGTCCCTATCGTGGTTGTTCTATCGGTGGTTCCTAT